TATTCATTGATGTGTCAAGATATTGTACACAAAAATGTTTTTGATCCGCTTATTATGTCCATTTCTGTAATGATTCGATTACAATGCCAATCTAATTTTGAATTCGCACTGACGTTTTGTTGCTGCTGAGTATATATACATAATTACATGCTATATAATCACTTTCATACATTGCAGAATACCCATATCACAAGCACTGTGTTCATTCCAAACTATCAAAACTTTGCGTCAAATGAGCATCTCAATGGTTAAACAAGTTTCCTGTACGTGCTGTAAAGCATTTCTCATCATTACTTTAGGTCAAGTTGCGCTTGAGATGCATACAGTAAACCAGATTATTTCAACCTACTTGAGAATGGGAATGTGAACATTATGCAGGTCACGTTCTACGTCCCAATTACATAACAAATAACTTCGCAGCAGTTTTAAACTGTTATAGTGATATTTAAATATAACAACTAATGTCAAACGTAGCTGCGGTCAAGTGCGCTTACAGATTTGCAGCTTTAACTGACAGTAGCTCTAGCAATTTGACTTCCTAAACATGTTTTCCAAATGTTCAAAAAAACTTCAGTGATATTAGCACATGATCATGCGTACTTACATGTGAAAGTGAAACAAAATATACTTGTGGTCTGTTCAGACCACAGGTACTGTGCGCACAGTTGAAAGATGACGCTAAATAATTCGTTAAATAACTATTCACCTTCCTTGTTGATATGGAAGACATAGACATTTTATTTTTCTTACAGTTTGGTCCAATGGAAACTGTAATAGCCGGCATAATTGAAGCGTGCCCCAAATACCTTCAACATCGAAGAGTGTATGTCACTGCTGGAGTGTGTCTGTTCAGCTTTGGAGTTTCCATCCCCTATGCAACTGAAGTGAGGTTCTTGAACATTTACCATACCTCACACATTCATTCCCGTCGTGGGACAAGTGGCAACTGATACTTTCAAAGAAGGAATTGTGCAATAATGATATCTTTGGTTGAGGACATTCCGTGATGACATTGGAGTATATCCACAAAATTTGAGTAAAAAAAGAACAAGTGTTTAAAATAAACAGGGGCTTGTCATCTTTGGAAAATTGGCAAACATGTGGAGAAATTTGTCTATTACACAATTCATTCTATGGTTATATTTATAACTAATCAATGAATCCTCGTCATTTTCTGAAACCAGTTAGTTCTGTGTTACAATTAAAAATAAATTAAATGTGAACATAGCATTTTATCATGTATATCACTTAGATTAAGGAATGTGTAAGTTATTCCTATTCTAATATTTTCTTATAAAAGAAAATGTATCTGTGTCACAATGTGTGTATTGTCTAATATATCTATTTGTCGTTAGTGTTTGCGTCAACGCAAAACCTGTGTGTTTCACGCAAATAAATCTACATTTCACGCACGATATTTTCTACCTGCGTGTTCTGCACGCTAAGCGTTTTGTGTTCGGGGAACAAGTAACCGAAAAACGTATTTTGCCCAAGGAACAGCAAAATACATGAAAATTAAAGTTGACATAAAGATGACAACATGTTCTAAAATGGAAGGAAATGACGTCTAAATTTCAAAAATGTTACAGGGGGGGCCCGCTAGACACCTCACCGCTTTCTGGCTGGGGCATACACCTGCTGGGCATGCACACCCAAGATTCTTGGGGTTATGAAGCTGTTTTTCCTACCGCGAACACTCAGTTGTAATTCTTTTTGTGTAATTTTGAATTGACTTCATTTCTATTTTCCGACATCACCTTATTGATAGCGTAAACGTTTACATGCATTATTTACAACCCATCCCGGTTTTATTCATATATGATTTTGTCTTGACATTACTTTTTGACTTGAATTTTCATTTCCTTTAAAACATACTGATCGTGTCAGTCATCTTAATGTGGTTTTATGGTTTATGACTTTTTATGAATTCTGCATGAATGGCATGTTCCTTTTTCAGGGTGGCGTGTACCTGTTCCAGCTATTAGACTGGTATGCATCTTCGTTCAACACACTGCTTATCGGTTGTCTGGAGTGTATCGCCATTAATTGGATCTATGGTACGTTAGATATGCGGAGACAGGTAACACAGAATAGCAAATTATTGAACACATATGATTGTGATAGTAACAAACAAATTTAACTTGACAAAGAGCCCCAGTGAGTTGGGAGATTCAGGAACCTGGGGAAATCTAGACTTGCTACATTTAGGGCTTTATTGCAGGGTGGGCTAGACAGTAGGGTAAATAATGTGGTTCAGGGACTGAGACAGACTAGTGTGTGACATCAGCACAAATTCCCGACTTCCTTGGTTTTCGATAAAAATCTGGAAACTGACACACGTAAAATACGTTATTACTTTTGACACATGACATTCATTCTATATAGGTTTTCTTTTTATGACCATTTTATCTTCCAATATCCATTCTATAATGTGAGTGGGGTTTCACAGGTTCGGAGAGATTTAGCAACGATGTTGAGATGATGATGGGAAGACGTTTCCCGTGGGTGCTGAAAGTCTCGTCTTCCTACATCACCCCTGTCATTCTCTTTGTAAGTTGAGGTTCATATCATCCAATAAAGCTATCGATCTTTCTGAAGTAAAGTGTTAAATTGCCATGTTTCCTTACTAATTATGTACTGCATTTGTTTATTATTTTGTCATAATATATCGTAGTGCATGCGAATATTTATGCAATTCATTACCTGTGAAAATAATTGAACAGCCATACAAAAGAGCTCAGAAATCAATATTTCTGACACGTCATACTTTTTCAAGTGGCCTATAACCAAATTCACTCTCTTTTACAATCTGTGATATTCGTCCATCTTATCCCTCACTTGCGTCCCTGATATTTTTTCCTGTCTCTCTGTTTCTCTATGACCCTCAAAGCTATGGCGAATTGTTTGTTTGTAAGCACCATGTCAGAACACGTGGTGTCGCCTAATTGCCAGTTGCCATATCCATGCATCGCCTTTTGCTTTCTATTTGTGCCATTCCAATATTCATTGATATAACTGCCATATTGTTCATACTGGTGTCAAGGCCAATCCGCGTACTTCTAAAAACGTTATTAATTTTAACCCTCACAGGCGTCCCTGATTCTTTCCCTGTTTCTCTACGACCCTCCAAGCTATGGCGAGTACATCTACCCTGAATACGCAAAGGTGATTGGAATCTTAATGGCAGTTGTGATGTCATTGCCAATACCTGTCATATTGGTATACCAGCTTTTCAAGAAGAAAGGAACTTTTCTTCAGGTAGGTTTACACACTTAACGAACCTCAAAACACGAGATAAGAAAAACTACATCCAACTGACCGTCACATTCATACGAAAGAAGTGTCGTTTTGGACGGTTTGGAAGAGTCAAAGCCTTATTAAAGATTTCAAACGGCTCTTTAGGAAATGTCTCCGTTTTTAGCATCAGTCGCATGCACGTTCATATGAACACTTGCTACGGGTTGAGCAACTTATGCTAACATTTTTGGAATTATTTTGGGAGGTCTTTTGTCTTTTTATATTTATGTAGAGCGTTTATATAATTATAAACAACTAAAAGGAAGTTTTATCTATTTAACAGCGTCTCCGCTTCGCAAGCTCTCCGTCCACTGACTGGGGCCCTTCGTTACCTGAAGACAGGGAACTATATCTTGAGGAGATGCACAAGCAGCCAGAAAGTCTTATCATGCGATTATTAAATTCCAAAGACAAACAAACTGCATTGTGCATAGGGATGCAAAGACAAAGTTTTACTTATGATGCTAAAGAATATTTGTAGCTATTACAATAAATGTTTACCAAGTATGTTTTAAGGATATTCAGAATCAGTTCCAAAATAGTTGTGTTTTGTTTGTGTGTTGTTTTACGTCGCACTCTGCAATAGTCCATCTGTAAATAATCGAGTCTGGACCAGTGATCAACAGTATGAACATCGAATCTACGCAATTGATATACAATGACATGTGTCAACCAAGTCAGTGAGCCTGACCACCCGATCCCGTCAGTCCCTCTTACGACAAGCACAGGTTGCTGAAGACCAATTCTAACTCGGCTCGTCACGGGTACTGGAGATGTCTCAGGCAACAGCGTGCAAAAATGACCACAAATGAACATTATTACATATGTTAAGATCATTGTGATAGAAGTAAAACGATGTGATTTATCATTTCATGAACAACATTTCATCTTTGATTCAATGAAGTAATGAATTAATATATACCTCTTCTAACGACTCGAGTTAGTTAGAATTACAGTTCTTACATTTGTTATTTTTGAGTTACGTTAATAGCAACAAGTAAAATCTGTATTTGTATAAAGATATCCAATACCAGATGAAACAATATCGATGGTACATCAACCCATGGTCCCCGAAGGACCAGTGAACAACGTATTTGTCTCACCAAACACCTCAATGTTAATTTTGAACTGTGTGAAGCACGGGTATTGGATCATAATACCGAAGTTAGGCAACAGCCCAAATACTACTAACACGAAGTACCAAACGCATTCCCACTGTTCGGGATTTGCTATTACATAGAAAATGTTACTCGCTTGTAAGTTGGGTACATTGATTGGCGCAGCCAATTAGAAAAACGACATTTATGTGTGAGGTAAGATTATATATATCGGTATGTATGTATGTGTGTGTATATACATATATATATATGGGTGTCAAGGCAATATGTGAAGCCCATTTCTGGTGTTCCCCGCCGTGATGTTGCTGGAATATTGCTAAAAACGGCGTAATACCAAACTCAGTCAGTCAGTCAGTCAAGGCAATACATCTATAATGGAGGAGTTAAGATATTTCTTCTTGTCATTACCCCATTCTTCATTAATAAAAGTACCCGCTTCACTAAAGAAACAGAAATATACACGCCACAAAACAACAGACCGTCACCTATATTAATTGCAAAAAAGCAGTATCGTTCAAGGACAAGGCAGCCGTACATTACGAAAATCGGACTACAATACGGAATTCGTCGGAGCTCGTCGTATTGCACCGCTGAATTGCTATCATAAGAGTTAATGGGTATGCAATAAAATTATGCCCTAGCTTGTCGGCATTTGACTGATATTTACTGTGCACGGTCTAACACGGGAGCTCTAGATATGGGAAATACGGCATAATTGCATCTTAGCACAATATGAACGATAGCTTCCTTACAGGAGTAAACGTTTTATTTTACGTATTGTCTATTGATTGAGCTGGCCAAGGAAAGGGGACAATACATTGTTGAGTTTATAACACCGGCTCTGAATCGTCTTGCTAGAGAACATTCTGACCCTCCCTATCAGCTATAGGAGCAACAACGGGTCTCAATATCACGTCCGCATTACATTGCCTTGTTCGTTACCATGGAGATGTAGGTCCCCTTTTACATAAAATGCCTGTCCATCTCTGAATCGTTAACCAGACCTATATTCACCTGTTAACATGGTGTGACGCCACTGATGTGGTTTACTTTTTTTTTTGGTGCCTTTGTCCCCAAGTGGAATCTGTTTCGCAGATATGATTGATTGCGTTATGAATTTTGGAACCCTCTCCACAAGTATAAAGATTGGAGCGATATGCTCGATGCATGATATAGAGATTATTAACCGAGTGTGTTTCCGTATCATTAATATCATATATTAGGAATAAACATTGTATTATGCGAGCCTGTGGCGAGCATAATACATAATTTTTTATTCCTAATATATGATATTAATGATACGGAAACACACGAGGTTAATAACCTCTTGATCTAATAAAGTCATTCTTAAAATTACTCTAAAAAAAAAGCAAATCGTACGTGAATTTATATGAAGAGAATCGAGCATTCACGTAAGAATACTTAGCGGTACACCAAGGCGAATGTCGTTAATGACGGCGGCATATGGTTGTGACTAGTTGCTAATACAGTGCAAACAAAACTCATGCTTAAAATGAGATCTTTCTGTCTAAAGGGAACAACAAAACCAGGCAGGGTTTTCCTGGCAGTGTTTCTATTTTCATTGCGGGTAATCACCTCATCAATATCAGTTTCTGATACCTGGCGGAATCGATTCGTCGTCTGCATTGTGATCGATAGATCGAAATCCTTGATTGGTACCTTTCTTAGACGATTGCCCTTCAGTCGTGCCTCATAATCCGTACCTTCAATGTGAACGAAGTACTCCGTTGCATGTTTTCCGAAGTCAATTACTGCAGTAACGACTCCAGAACCTCAGTCGTCAATTCTTACGGAATCACCAATTTTGAGAATGTGGGCAGCCATGTTTGTTTACTAACAATGTAAACTCGTGACGACGTCATCAATGAAATGTTAACGTTTTAGGATTCGCATGGCGTGTATGGAGTTTTGTGAAAGTATTTTTTAGGATTGACGTAATTTGCATAGTTATCAGATTTGGATTCCAAGTTTATCAGATTGCTTTATTGCACCGATAACAACCTCCATTAGATGATAAATATGCTTCCACTTTCTTCCACATCAGCACGATACTTTAGCGGTAATAGGTATCAGATAGAGATAGACATGAAGTGTTGAATGTTATGTACAAGTATTTTACTTTGTACTGTGCACTGAATGTATACATGTGTATGCTTTAAGAAGCTGCAGTATGTGAACATGGGTTAATGGCCACAACTAAAATACGACAATAAGACATCCATAACACCATAACCCTATGTCTGGGATAGCTCTAATTGTCCCCCGCCGCAACGCGGAACGGGGGACTATGTATTCAGCGGCGTCCGTCCCGATTCTTGTTAACGCGATATCTCATGAACTGTTGTACCCAATGTCTTCAAATTTGGTGACAGCCTACATTGGGGGATTACGCAGACCCCAGTTTATTTGACCTTATCTTCAAGGTCACCACGACACTTTGACCGCTTTTGAAACTTATTTAATCGCGATATCTCATAAACCATTGCACCCAATGTTTTCAATTATGTTGACAGCCTACATTTGGTGATTTTGCAGACATCAGTCATTTCAGGCGTCTTGTATGTGACCACAAAATAAAAAGTTACTGTAGTAAATATAGATATTCCATTCTTTAACGACGAGGGACATTGCCATATCAGTGGCAAACACTTGTTCTACATTGTTGTTGTTAGTGTCATGATATTTGAAGGGAATTAGTTTTCCCATTTTTTAAAACACACGGCATTCATTCGTGTCAAACGCTTACAGACGAGAAAACATAATAGTGAATTATTTTTATGAAAACAGTGACAATTAAGAACATTTATATCTTTAGTCAAGACCAATGACAAAATGTTTTCAGAAACGTTATGTGGTAAGATGTGTCAGTAGTCTTGTTGACTGAAGATGAAATTGACTGAAGCCCTAGTACAATATCTACCTACTTAAATTGGACGTGTGATTTGTAGTTATCTTAGTTGCTTTGATTCTGTTGATGTTGTGATGTAGCGTTGTGCAGGCATTATGGTTTTTAGCAAAAGTAGCAAAAGTAATCATGTTTAAAGCAAGTAGAAACTTTACCCATACCAAATGTATTGAAGTGAAACTGTATCTCAGTCTATGTTCATGATATTTTGAAGTGGCAGCAATCGAAAACTTTACCCCAGCCTATGTTCATTATTTATTGAGTGAGTGAGTTAAAATTTAACGTCACCTCGCCAATATTTCAGCCATATTTCAGCCAGAAAGGTTTTCCATACACAATAATATAAGTTGTTAAATAACCAGTAATCGAATGACTGTAAAATAACTAGATTATAACAGATGGTGTTTCAAAATAGCATGTAAATCTAAAACTATTTTTCTTACGAAGACAATACAATCTGATAACAGGCCAACAACTGAAGGTAGATCACCATAGTATTACTAGGGTCCATGGGGACTTACAGTGCTTTTGCTATCTGCATGGACCTTAGTTGGATTTACACCATCCCTGTAGCAGCTGGCTATTGCAGGAAAATTTAGCCGAAATTTAAAATAGCAAAAATAAAGCGTTAAAACATCTGGTAAGTTTAAATTTTACTTTGAAAGTTTTGGGACTTACGTTCCCTCTCAGGGGGACATTTATCTACATGTATTTACAAACAGATTTTCCAAAATGTATGTAATATTTTTTTTAATTTAAAAAAAAGAAGTATTAAATGATAATTTACATTATAAAAAGATCCTTAATTGTTTTGACACTGAAATATTTATTCCTTGTGACGGAAAACACTATTTATTGAAGTGAAAGCAAGCAGACGTGAGGGAACACCTCTCGGGGACAACCAGTACTTTATGCTAGCCATACAGAATTCCACTACATAAGCTGGGAATGTTCTTGGCATTCAAGTATCATTTGAAACGTGTGTATATTAAGTGTATTTATGTGATTAACATATAAATGTAACACAACTAAATGCGTTTAGTGATAAAACTAAATGTTATCGTCTGCAGTAATTTTATTGTATAAAGTATTAAATGATAATTTACATTATAAAAAAAAAGATCCTTAATTGTTTTGACACTGAAATATTTATTCCTTGTGACGGAAAACTTTATTTATGGAAGTGAAAGCAACTAAATGCGTTTCGTGATAAAACTTAATGTTATCGTCTGCAGTCATTTTATTGTATAACAATTTCATATAGATATTTAGTAATATCTGACTATTAAGATATCAATGAATTAAGACATAAATATTTGATTGTGAAGGTTATGTTACGGTTTGAACCAGCAAATGTAATTTCATAGCTTTGTAAAGCAGTGGTTAACCTTGCGTGGTAGATGCAGCAACGTGCTTGTGATGATGATGTCACAGCGAGGTCATAGTTGGTGTGAACTTCAAAAGAACCTGTAGTGACTAGTAACTTCCATTGACA